TTCGACGTCAGCAACTGAACTACAACGTGACCGCGTAAGTTTTCAGTGCGTACATATACCGAGCAGCCATAAGCACGAATCGATGCGTCGCAAAACCCATGTAGTTGAATGTTGCGAGCGTTGGGCTGTAAGCAATAACGAGGTACCGTGAGTGATGAGATCGCATATATTAGATATTAAGCAGTTTGCCCAAGCTTGCTGCAGATGTTGGGGAACGGACTCGTCCTAGTCGAGCTGCAATAGCCAAAGCTCTTGCAGTATTATCTTGGCTGTGATTACCAGTGGTGATAACATGCCAAGTAGGTCAAACAGGGATGATGCGGTAGATAATATTGCCCGCTTTGTGACTGAAGTAGGTTCTTGTTTAGGATTGAACGCGAAGGATAGGAAGTCACTTCGTTGGTGTCATGTTATTCCTAATGCGCTGGTCACGTAATCGTCAGTGATACTGAGCTCTTTGTGGCTTGACCTTCCATAAATTCGGGGTGATTTGAATGCCATTTCGATAGTGGAAATTGCCCGCGACGGAGTACTTCGACAACTTGATGCTTGAGGGTATATAGCTCATTCATTCATAGAAAGATGATTTTATTGCTAAAGCGCCGATCGGAAGCTCTGCCATGTGTTGGTCCGCCAGATAGTGGAGACTGTGTACTGCGAGAAATGGAGCCGAGGCTGTGCCATATGTGACCGTGTTCAGCTGATACGTGCGGATATCTGAATCTGGGGAAGCTCGCCAAAGTACGTATTGGAATTGTCGAAAGTTATTGTCTACAAGTACTTGCCTGTACATTTTAGCCACGTCTGCGGTGATGGCGTAACGATACAAACGAAAACGCAGTAGTAGCATGTATAAATCTTGTTGGATTGTTGGGCCCACCAGTAATAGGCCGTTCAATGAGGTTTGCGATGAGGTGCGACACGAGGCGGGGGAGGATGATGTGGTATGTAGTAGTATGACTCCTTTAAGTTGGGTTGTGCTACTTCTGACATGTGGCGAAGACCTTCGTACTCTTTCATGAAGGCAATGTACTGCGGACGAATTGCGGGCGAACGTAGAAGGCGTCTCTCAAGCGCGAGGAATCNTTCATAGAAAGATGATTTTATTGCTAAAGCGCCGATCGGAAGCTCTGCCATGTGTTGGTCCGCCAGATAGTGGAGACTGTGTACTGCGAGAAATGGAGCCGAGGCTGTGCCATATGTGACCGTGTTCAGCTGATACGTGCGGATATCTGAATCTGGGGAAGCTCGCCAAAGTACGTATTGGAATTGTCGAAAGTTATTGTCTACAAGTACTTGCCTGTACATTTTAGCCACGTCTGCGGTGATGGCGTAACGATACAAACGAAAACGCAGTAGTAGCATGTATAAATCTTGTTGGATTGTTGGGCCCACCAGTAATAGGCCGTTCAATGAGGTTTGCGATGAGGTGCGACACGAGGCGGGGGAGGATGATGTGGTATGTAGTAGTATGACTCCTTTAAGTTGGGTTGTGCTACTTCTGACATGTGGCGAAGACCTTCGTACTCTTTCATGAAGGCAATGTACTGCGGACGAATTGCGGGCGAACGTAGAAGGCGTCTCTCAAGCGCGAGGAATCGTCGGCGAGCAACATCGATAGAGTCTCCGAGACAAATGGGGTCATCTTTAAAAGGCATACTTACTATTATGCGTCCAGTGTTATCTTGACGAACNAAAAGTTGGTAGAGGCAACCTTGGTAGGTGCGACGAGGGTGTAACAGATGCAGCTGGAGGCGTTTCCGAGTAGTGTACCGTAGTGTTAACATCTTCTCCAAGTTGCGCTTGGATGCTCAACTGGACTGCAACGTAGCTGTCTTCTAGGTCTGCACGGCCGTTGTCTGTGGGGTCTAAGTCTTCGATGTCAGCTTGTACGGACAAGGCTTGCTTAAAGTAAGACTCTAAGATTCCTAATCGACACTGCAATTCAGCATTAGAAAGTTTGTCTTCTGACTCCCTTACAGCTTCGACGATTGATTTGATGCGAGAAATGTTGCGCTTTATGTTCGAGCGCTTACGCTTGCATTCCTCAAGAGACATGGTTGACGTACAATGTGATGTGACGAAACAATTCCTACTGGGTTACTGACTGTTTTATATGTGCTGTTGGTCAACTGTTGGCGCAAATTCCAGAAAAGCGAAGTACAAAAAATGCAAAACAGCGCAGCTTCAGCGAGAGCAGCGACTGTAGCGCTGACAGAGCAGCAGCGAAGTATACGACGGCGAGTAGTGTTAGCAGCGAAGCGGTCTACCAGTGAGAGTGATGAATGCGAGTTAGCGGCAGTATCAACGGCTCAAAGCAATAAAAAAGGCGCAACAACAATTAAATGTAGGCCTTATGTACTTTCAGTCGTACGGAATATATGGCAAAGCAGCAAAGTCAAAAACTGTATTTGGGTAAGGGTACATACATACATACATGCGTTTCTAACCGGTGAATTTTATGTTCAGAACAGCAATAGTATGACTTGCAAAATTATCGAAGGGATCCAGCCGGGAATGAAGTTGCTAATCGGTGGTGAAATGCACTAACAGCGAACGAAGTGTGTTTTGGTTAGAAAGCGAAAAATTTGACTGTTGTTATTGCTCCAACGAACGGATTGATTGCTGTTACTGATGCAGCCGTTGAATGATGGCGAATTATGATTCTTATTTGTCGTAGAATAGACACAGGCCCCACGTTGGGCGCCAAAAATGTTCGATGCAAGACGTCTTTTTCTTGCTTGCGGGAAAGTCGGATGTGGGGGTGTATATTCTCCAAACCAAACCTGAATTTTTGCCAGGCCAAACTACGCGAAATTTTCAACTCGTATATATTACTATCGAGACGATTAAAACAACGAGCTGCTTGGAGTGAGCGATAGATGTGTCATAATTTATTGGAATGCCTGCCAATTATGTACTATGTACAAGCGAAATATTAAGAATAAAGAGAATTATGAGTGCAATAATAAATGAGATTAACTACGTGTGCGTGTGTCTGTATGCATGTTTACAATGAGTGGGTGTTTAGTTGGTTAGAGTGAGTGAATTAGTTCAAAGTTATTTGAGTAACCATCAACTGCTTAAAGGGTGATCCAACAGACAGTTATGAAATTTTTACACAACCTAGAAGAAAATGTAGCGGTCATTTCAACATTGGCTTCGGCTAAAAATATTTAAATAATTGAAAAACGAATATCTTTCCTCCTATTTGATAATGAATGGTGGAAGAGGATGGTCTTCCGACTTGACAACTTGGCCACTCTCCAGCATAAGGCAACCGTCGTTAACCCATGTATTCTGCCTTCGTTGTGAAATCCAGCCCATTCTTGAAGAAAATTTTTATAAAAGAGAGCTTATCTTTCCAATAGAGAATGGGCTTCACCACATTTGCTTCTCATCTTCTACATTTGCATTTCATTTTTAAATTAAAGTTATTTATAAATACATTTACGCGTCAAACAATTATAAAATATTTGCTTTTAAAAACTTGGAAATAAGCTTTTTGCTATAAACATTTACGCATGTAAAACTAATTTATTGGAAGTTTATTCCAAAAACTCCTTAGATCAGAAAAAAACTATTAAGAGCAGTGACTATTCAATTTACAAATAGGAAGAGGCGAAAAAAGCAAAGCAATCTGGTTTTTGTTTACTTTTACCAAAGAACGTAAATATACAAGAGGAGACAACATGTTATAATTGTAGCGAGTGTGAACATCAGGAGCGTGCCTTCTCTTTTCATCCAATCACAATTACAACGTGTTGTCTCTTATAGATTTAAATTCTTTGGCGCGTATTCATAGTCCAGCAACTAAGTCGAAACTAACAAAGTTGCAACTTAAATTTAAGTACCAACTTAAAATTTACCTCTATTCATAGTCGCATTTCAGACTTCTACTAAGTAGTTTCGACTTAGTTTACGATATAGCAAAACGAGTGTGAAAATGTATCGATTTTTCTTTACGATATTTTGGAAAAATTACATTTTTATTAAATAATGTCAAGTTTGATCACCCGTTTATGTAATTTTTATTTTCATTGCATGATTATGCAAAAGAATAAGGTATCATTTTCTTGTTAATTGTGTGAAATAGCCAGAACAACCGCAGTGATGTGAAGTCGATGTTTATCGAAAGCATGCTGTGAAACATACAAATAGTAGATATCTAAATGTTATGCACAAATTTACTTTAAAAGAACTAGCGTGAAACTGACTTATTATTTGAGAATTTATCTAAATTATTCCAATTATAAATTTGTGATTTAGCTTTATTCGAATTGTAATACGCATTTAATTTCATCTTCCGAATAAAATGGATCGATCTTTGTAAATTTTAATTGGAGATTACTCAATATTATCAAAATCACCCTCTACCAACTTAATTTTTACATATTTCGTCTGTTTTCCCTTAATTTGATAAAATACTTCTTCCTTGTTACGACTTAGTTGCAGCTGCAGCCGAAACTAAATTTTAAGTTGGTACTTAGCCAGAAAAGTCGAAACTAAGGCGACTGTGAATAGCTTTAGTTGTGGCAGAGAACGTATATTTATAGAGAAGGTCCAAGAACTGTGAATGCCACATTTTTCGAGCCAACTAAACTGGCGAAGCGCATTTTAAGAGCGACAAATATTTGGAATACTTAACAGCGAAAGCAAAATACAAATCAGAAAAGAAGAATGTTAACAGAGCTAAATCTCAAAGAGAGAGACTTCGTATGTTAATTTGTGGGTGAAAATCTAAACGCACAGGTTGGTGGTTTTTGTTTTTGTAAAGTTTTGATTTCTTTTTTGAATTGGATTTTCTTCAAATTCGAAAAAATGCGAATTTCAAAGGAAAATACCAACGCCCATTTAGTTTGACGAAAACTTTCTTGCCATCGGAGTATTTTTCAAACTTTTTTTGATTTCGACCTCAAAAATGGCACCGCGACCGCGAAAATGTCGCGCCCACTCTTGCAAAAATATTAATAATGATTTCCGTTTTTTTTCTTTTCCACAGGATCCGAGAGAAGCCCGTAGATGGATGGAGAATATGGGGATCGACCCCATGAAGAAGCTGCCACCCCACAACTCCTNCATCGGAGTATTTTTCAAACTTTTTTTGATTTCGACCTCAAAAATGGCACCGCGACCGCGAAAATGTCGCGCCCACTCTTGCAAAAATATTAATAATGATTTCCGTTTTTTTTCTTTTCCACAGGATCCGAGAGAAGCCCGTAGATGGATGGAGAATATGGGGATCGACCCCATGAAGAAGCTGCCACCCCACAACTCCTCGTATGCATCCACCATTTCGAACCCGAAGTAGTGGATGGAAAATGCCTGAGGAAGGGTGCCCTTCCAACGCTCAACTTGGGTAAGTTAATAATCATATAATATAAGTGCATATTAGGCAGGTTAGTTTTTTTTCTTAGGCCGGTGAATTAATTTAAAGTGGCGAAAAAATTGTTAATGTGTTTAGTGCGTTTCAAAATATAGTTTTAAAAAGTGAAGGGTGCTCCAGATGAAATACATATATATTAAATATGTATTTAAAAGTCGGTGGAGTCACGTCCTCCTTAGTGAATGCGTATGTATGTTTGTATGCACATACATACATTCTTATATGAAAACGAAACAGTGGTCAACAAAATAATGCGGCACTCTGTCCATTTTTGACTATTTTTCTTTTACAAAAGATTAATAAACTTTAAAAAAGGTAAAAGAAGCCCATTACAATTTATAATAATAATGTGGATATTTGCAGTGTCTTTAAAATTCGCGGTGATTTTTT